CCATTGTGAATCCTCTCGACTACCCCCCCTCCCCTCCCCTAGGACTCTGTGCAAGGGTTCCTCTTTGTCCTCCTATGAGAAGCACCAAACACTGTACCCCACCCCTGATGATTACCCACCCCTACCTCCATCCTGACATTGGAATGCGCCTCATGGATGTGGGAGAGACGACGTTGAGCAAAATGTTCCCGAAATAGAACAATTTCTGCTCTTCCCCCTATTGTATCCCCTCATTCCATAACCCCCACCCCCATTTGAAATCAAGGGACCCCCCCTTTCCGACTGTCAGTCAGTCAGCACCGGATGTGTTCAAGATGGACTACCACCCCATTCAATCCCGATCAAACACCCCCTGCACCCCTGTACCTCCATTGAAGTTGACTAAACCAAATCTCGTGCATGAAAAAAATACCTCTTCATAATGAAAAGTTGCCAACACTCGTCGGTTCGGGGTCACAAAAGAAGTTAACTTCTGCCGGACGGATGAAACATCCGGCGATTTCTTTCACCGCTTTCACAGCCTTGCGGCAGTCACTGAAATCGCTCCGCTACGCCGCACTGCGGCAAATTGCGGCGGGGCCCGGCCCAGGGCCGCGGGCCCTCCGCCCGCCGGGCAGGTTTCCGGCCCGGGCCAACTTGCCAAAACTTGACAGGCCGGGAGCGCCCCGCCACCGTGACGGTGCCTAATGGCCGGGAGCGCGCCGCGTGATCGGACCGTGGCAGCCTGGGCAGTGGCCAGCAAAGAGAGGCCAGCGGGCAGTGTGAACTCTCGGAGTCCGACAATACCGAGAGTGACGGTCCGACCCCGGATGATGGGCGGCCGGCACAGGGCCCGACTCGGAGTCCGAGCTTCCAGGCTGCCAGGAGAGCTGGCGATCATAATTTTTTTGTTACAAGACAGCGAGACGAGAGACTGAGAAGAAAACATGAAACAATCTTAAAGGCGCGCTCTCAGCTCTGACAAAAACTGCCAAAAAACTTGCAGACTCTTTCAAGAGAAGCCTGACAAGTGCGCAAAGCCCGAGTGTCAACCTGATTCCCAGGAACTATTCAACTTGGCAAGGCTAAAGTTGTCAAGTTTGGACTGATCAGGTTCCTGAGGTGTAGGTCCTCTCATCACCCTGCGCTCATTCTTTCCTCATCATGTTGCGCATGATGAAGTTCTGTGAGATCTGACAGGCGCCGTCAAGTTCTCTGACATGATCGTCCCTTGTCTCACCTCGGTCTCCAGAGGGCAGACAGCAAAGTCCCAAAACTCCAGAAGGTCTTCGGACGGAACATTGGCAAACTGGACGGGGCCACTGGGGACGAGCAGAAGGGGGAGGAGGGGAAGGGAGAGGAAGGGTAGGAAGGAAGATAGTCAGAATGTCGGAAGGCTGTGACAACGAGAGAAATCACCAGAAATCTTTCCTCGCCTTTCCTCCCAAGTTCTCATACCAGCTTTGTGTGCTGTAGAGATCATGTTAGATTATGTCAATGATGAGCAGGTAGTGCAGAAAAAGCAGCGCAAGCAGCACCTGTCTCCCATTCCTCCTCCTAGACACTCGTAGGCAGACTGTACTTGACGGAACCTGAGAAAGAGGGTGAGGAGCTGGAAGGGAAGCACTTGCTGTGAGCTCCAAGACGCTTCTTGATGATGATGACGACGATGATGATGATGAGAATGGAGGATGAGGATGATGATGACTATGATGATGACGATGACGATGACTATGATGATGATGATGACTATGATGATAATGATTTGCGTGCAAACCTCTCTTCGGCGGCCAACTTCTCGTCATCAGGCAGAGACGATGTTCGGTCAGGATGTCTGTCCGTTGCATCAAGGGAAGGAGCAACAAGACAACATTCAAGTCAGAATCTCACAAGGTGACGATGAGCTTCCGATGAGCCGCTTTGACCTCAGCAGCAGAGGCTCCCTTTGCCAATCCCTGACGAAAAACTCAGGACCAACTGATAGCACGCGCCTCCGTTCGTCTCTACTGCTTTCCCCTTTCCTCCCCTTTCCTCCTCCTGCTGCTACAAATCAAGATACCAGTGTCTGGTAGGCGCGTTGCACATCGTCTTTCTTGCTGTTGACTTCTTCCATTACGTCTCCTGTTCACATGACATTACACAGCTTGGCTCCTCATAACTTGTCTCCTCTCCTCTCCTCTCCTCTCCTCTCCCCCATCCTTCACAACTCCCGCTCAACTCACTCCATCTTATCTCATTCAGGACTCTCACCAAAGTTATCAAGGGGCTCGTAGGCATACTCAATGAAGTTCCTTGGAAGTCTTCGGAGACTGCAGCACAAAACTCAACATCTCAAAGCCAACAGAGAGGAACACGACAAACCTGGGAGATCCCTGACAAGCACACTCCCAGATCTCTCGACACCTGCATCAGCCATCATGCTAGCGGAAGTCTTCATCTCCGTCATCACATCTTCTTCACAACAAGAGGAGCGATCAGGTTTGCATCCGCCATTCCCTGGAGGATGGGATTTCCTGGCACGTTGCCACGTCACCGTACCGCCAATACACTACTCAGTCTCAGACCTTCAAGGGAGTCTCCGACCCATCGGATTGCCATGACTGCTGTCGGGACCCAATCGCTCAACTGCATCCAGTCATCATCATCATCATCATCATCGTAATCATCGTCATCCTAACCCCCCTCCCACTGCTTTCTCCTCCTCCTCTTCCTCTTCGTTTTGTTTTCCCTTCCCTCCTGCCAACCTCTTCTCTTGTTCCTCCTTCCTCACCTGCTCGTAACCTGCAGGGAGGGTGCCAGCTTTGGGCATCCGGATGCTGACGACATACCTTGAAAGAATCTGAGAAAGAAGCAGGAAACGAGGGCGGGAGCTCAGAAGATTTCAAGAGGAAGCAGAAGAAGGGAGAGGAACTGGGAGGGAGTTACATACTCTCTGAGATCGATGATGTCTTCCTCCTCTGAAACCGAGATTCTTGATGATTCTTCACTTATTCTGAATGCAGGTAAGATCCTCAACAATGCGCTCCTGCTCCTGCTCCTGCTCCTGCTCCTGCTCCTGCTCCTGCTCCTGCTGCTTCTTACTTTCTCTACCACCATCACTACACCAGACATAGTTGCCACCACCACAAACAGCATCTAGCGTTCCCACCTGTCATAGAAGTCCATCGACTTTCTCAGCAAGACCGCAGGGTCAATCGTTGTCGTCGCTGACTTGGCAGCTTTGCCGAACCCGCCTGATGCGGGCTTACTGTCCTTCTTCTTGGTCTTGGTAGCAGCAAGGCTGGCGCATCTCCCCGACTGACTCACTTGCGGACTCAGGCCGAAACGTGGAGTCGATACAAAGCCAGAGCAGATATCAGCAGAGAGGGCGACGGAAGCAAGGAGAATGAGCAACGTCCTCCGCATTCTGTTCCTGTCAGTCACGGGATGGATCAGTTGAGGGGGCGAGCAATCAACTTTCAGGTCAGGCTCTCTGAAGCTAGGCATGCACGCATCCTTGTTATTCCTCTCTATTTCTCCTTCTCAATTTGTCCTGAGAGAATTTGATCGCCTCTGCTTCTCTCTTGTGGAAAGATAGAGAAACATTCTGGTCGGCTACTATCCCTGTCCTTCCTGTCCTTTTTCTCCTTTCTCTTTGGCTTGAAACGCTCACCGATCAGCAAACTCTCCCTTCATCGGTCTCCTACTTTGTCTCCCTCCCCTCGCTCCTCGCTCCTCTCTCCTCGCTCCATCTACATCTTTTCAAACTCTTTCAGCGGCCGCACGTGAAATGAGAATGAGGGGGATGTTTCACGGGCCCGCATCAGGTAAATTAAGTAACATACGGATAATTAAGATGCGTATTCTTTTCTACAAACCAACCCCACGTCACGCGGGCAGCTTCATGGCAGCAGGGCGAGGGGAGGGCAGGGGAGGAGAAGCGAAGCAGAGCAGAGCAGAGCAGAGCAGAGCAGAGCAGAGCAGAGCAGAGCAGAGCAGAGCAGAGCAGAGCAGAGCAGAGGAGGACAGCAGGTAATAGGGGCAAGAGGTGAGGAAAGGAGAGGGCAGGGAAGGGCAGGGGAGGGCTGCGCACGGCAGGAGAGCGGGAGAAGAGGGAAGTGGGAGAAAGAGAGAAGGAGAGAAGGGGAGAAGAGTAGAAGAGGACGATATTTCATTGATACAAACAGGGGAGCACAGGGAGGGAATGAAGGTGTTTAGGAACGGGTTTGGGAACAGATGATTCAGTTGGAGAGAGTCAGTGGAGAAACTGAGAGAGGAGGTGCGATTTGGGAAGGTTGAAGATGGAGGTAAAAGCTCAATTTGTTGGCGAACTGGAAATGGAGCAGCGTTTGAAGATTTAGTAACTAATACCGGGAGGGTGGTATTTGTGGTGATGGTGGTGATGGTGATGTATGAGTGGGTGATGAGTGCATGAATGCTTCAAAGATAGAATTCGTGGGCCCAGTCATGTGGAATCACAAATCCTGGTAGTTGTTTGATATGAAATGAAGAAGTCAGTTTTGCTCCTTTTGAACAGCCGAGAAGTAGGAGGAGGAACAGGACCAGGGCAGCAGCACGAAACAGCAGGCAGGGGGGAGAAGTGAGGGAGATCTCCCTCCCTCCCTCCCTCCCTCCCTGCAACGTACTTTCGTTCCTCACCGTGCTAGTCCAAACTCATTGAAGTTCACCCAGCAGGTTGAAGGGCCTGAGTTAGTCAGCAGTGGGAGCAGTCGAAGAGGATGTTCTTTCAGCCGCTCGTGTATGCCTCGGGGTATCTCGTCCTCCTGTTCCTCGCCATCTGCATGGCTTGCGGCCTCTACTGTAAGTCTCCTCCCTCCCTTCCTCCCTCTCTCTCTCTCTCCCTCTCTCCCTCCCTCCCTCCCTTCCTCCCTCTCTCCTTGTCTCCTTCGCGCTTCTCTCTGATCTGACTCAACGGCAGACATGGCTGAGCTGGCAGAAGAGTACTCTAGACTGACCAAGAAGGTCCTCAAGTACTCCATCTGGGTCGTCCTGGCCATTCACGGGCTCCTTCTTGTGGGTGTAGAGGTGAACCATGACGACCTGGGGGTTGACGGGACGGTTGACAGGTATTGGACGGGTTCCCTTTCTTCACCACGATGTTTGGGATTGCGCTGCATGTTGTTTACTATCAGGTGAAGCTGATCTTGCTGTGACTTGACTGCTGGTTGTAACTTTCCGTCTCAGTTCCTCAAAGATTTCCCTTTCGTGAATTTCTCCTCTCCTCTCTTCCTGGGAGCGTGCGGTATGCTCGCCTCTCCTTGTCCTCGCTCCTTCGAATCTTGCTCAACTTGTTCTCTCCTCATTCTCTCTCCCCTCCCCATCTTCAGTCGTCTCTTCCACGCTCTTCCTCCTCCCTCCGTTATCCCTCCCTCCCTTGTCTCCTCCTCTTACAATCATCCAGCTGGCCTTCTGGTCAACCATTGGCTCTGGATCGTCTACTTCCGCGAGCAGTACCAGTACCGCGTGCCTCAGATCATGGCCTTCTTCGTTCCGTGAGTTGAGGGAGGGGATGAATGAGCGATGGGCCTGGAGGATCTTTCTGATGGGGTGGGGGGTGGGGGGTCAGGCGGGAAAGAAGCGACTGACCGATGGCGCGGCAGTTGCGTCTGGCTTGTTCCCTTCGGCTTCTTCGTCTCCGTCTCGTTGGGTGATACGGTGAGAGCACGTGTAGGAGGGAGGAGGAGGAGGAGGAGAGTGCCGAGGGAAGAGCTCTGCTTGTTGTATGAGTGATGATTGCATGATGGAGTGAAGGGGTTTGACGCTATCGAGAAGTTGATTTCACTTTGACGATGATGATGATTATATCGATAACAATGAGCATATCGATAACGATGATCATATCGATGGCAATTATCATACTAATTCGTTAAGTTTGATGTTCGAAGCTGATGGGATGATGAATCAGGTTCTGCCATCAGCAACTCATTCTGGAGGTTTGGGGGTGAAGCAAGAAGGACAGAACAAAGCCTCGGGTGAGATGAAATCCAATCGTATGCCTGGATTGGTGTGCATGTGACGTTAGCATGTTCAAGCCTTCCTCTCCTCCCTTCCTCATGACCACAAATTGATGTTTTATTTTCTTGCCTTGTGACTGTGTTTGCAGCACTGAAGGGATTGTTGCAATGGTTTGGCAGCAAGAGGGACATTTTCATGTCAAACACAGGTTATGTTACATCGTCATTATGCCTCGTTAGTGTTCTTCTTGTGACTTTTGGAACAGGAATGCAACCATCAAGGGATTACTATGGAAAAAGTTTCTGATAGCATCATAGCAATAAACTCTCCTGAAAACATCAACTATCCTGTCTGACCGTTGGAGGATCACATCATGCCAAAGGCAGTGTTTTATTTACAATCACAATCATGTCCATCAGTTTACAAGTATGAGTTCAGCGCACGTCGGAAAGCATCCTTATCCTGTTTGCTCATGTGCTGTCCATCAATTATCGTCAGTGGAACGATAATAAAGAGAGGGCTAGACAATGATTTCGTACTGACCTTCTTTGCTGTGTTAGACAAGCTTCCAGCAGCTTGTCCAATTCTATCTTGCTTCCTTCCCCTCGATCCAGTCTGCACTGTGTGTCACATTCCTCCTGGTGTTGGACAGCAGCAGCAGCAAGGGGATGAGTGAGTGTGGGAGGAGGAGCGGCAGTAGGAGGCGGAACAGTAAGAGGAGGAGCAGTGTGAGAGGGAACAACAGTAACTTGCCGGGAGTTTTCCATGATTCGCAATGGCTCGTGCCGATCGCAACTCTTGCTCAAGGTGAGACTTGGTGGCCTCGATCACGTCGTCCTCCGACACGCTCTTGCTGCTCTTCTTCCCCGCTGCCGCATCCTTCTGCACCTTCCCTTTGTTGAGCTCATTGCCCGTGGTTCCCAGCGCCCAAGCGCCATCAGCAGCGATGCTGTGGATGAACTGGTCGGTGCTTTGCAAGAAGCTCTCGACCTTGGCACTCCAGGGTTGAGAGGACGACTGCTTCTGAGACGTCTTCTTCTCAAGCTTCGTGGAGATGCTGTCCGGATCCAGGTCTGTCACTGAGCTCAAGGCAGCCTTAGCCTTCTTGTGCACTTCAGTCAGGTACTCCTTGCTCTTGTGCTTCATCTCTAGCTCCTTCTTCCGCACCACGCGCTCGACCTCCTTCTTCATCGCCTGCTTCAGAGCTGAGTTGACAGAATCTGCTGCGGAGGAAACAATGGAGTCTTGGACTTGCTTCAACTTCCTCTTCGACAGCATGTCGTCCAACGTTATCTCATCCCTGTGTAGCATCGACTGAATTGGCTTGAATGTTTGCGTCAGGGCTGCTCCAATCTTCCTGGAGGCTCTTTCGGCTGTACTCCTGAGCATTCTCCTCCTCGACAGCCTCCCAGCCTCCAACCTGAGGGCCGACGCCTCATGCCTCTTCTTCTCGCTCAGGTGAGCCCTCGCCATCCTTGCCTTGCGCATGTTGATGCTGCTCCTCAGCCTGTGGGATAGGCTGGAGTGAGACTCGAAGCCGTTGGCTAGCTCGTTGATCTCATTGTTGCTCTGCTTGTAATGGCGAAAGCTCATGATCTCTGCCAACATCTTCTTGGAGCTTTGGATGCCATGGCTTCGCTCCAACTTGCCAAGGGCCGCAGCCCCTGACCCCGAGTCACTACTGTAGCCTGACTTGCGCTTAGCTAGGGACTCCATCTCCTGGAGTGCACGAGGAACCTTGTGCTTTGATCTCGCATCGCGGACTGAGTCGAATCCACTTCGCTTCTGCAGCCGATCCAGCTGCGCCAGAGCATGTTTCCTTCCAGGCTCAGCCGATCTAGCTAAGGATGAAAGCTCCTCAGTGTACTTGTTGTTCTTCTCCTGCTTCTTCTGAGACAACACAGTGGAACCATCTTCCATCGTAACCATCACCATCACCATCATCAGCGCTACCGCCAAGCTTCCAAACACCCACGGCAATCGCACCATTGTGCGAAGTGCCACTGTGGCAGATCAATAAGAGGGGGTAGGGTACCTACACTTCCTACCGGCCTGCAGCTTTCCTTTAATTGAGATTTGATGGGGTACCCGACAATCAGAAATAAATAACGGGAGGGTAGGGGTCCATCTTTGGGTCCATCAGTGGTGGGCTGCGGGGCCCGGGCGGGCCCAGGGCGGCCGGGCCGCGACGTCGGACACTCAGCACTGGTGTGTCACCCGGCCGCATGTCACACCGTGGCCCGGGGCACCACTGGCCAGTACGGCCCGGCCGGGGCGGCACGGCACATGGTCCGACACACGCGCCATCGGCTGCCGAACTTCCGACGGAAACTGCCTCCGCGGCGGCCGGGACCGTCGCCGCGCCGGCGGGCAGCCCGGCCCGGCCCGCCGCGCCGCGCGGCCCGGCCGGTCACCTGAGCCTACAACTAGCCTCACGGTAGCATAGTAGGCCCCGGGCCCGGGGGCGGCCGGGGCTAGCCTGGCTCCGACGAGTGCTGAGTCCGCCCGCCCCGGTGACCGCCGCCGTACCGTGTCACGGGCGCGGTCGGCGAGCCGCTGTCCGAGAACTGAACTTCAGTAACTTCGGTCCCGCCGGGGCGGCCGTCGCCGCCGCTGTAAGAACTTGGGTTCTGACAAACCTCTCAGAAGTTCTTTCAGACGCGATAAGTTCAAGGGATGCGTCTAATCAGGTTGTGAACCAAGTGAAGCCTGCAGGTCCAAGCTAGTGGGCTGGAGCTTAGTCTGTGACTTAGAAGATCCGGTTGGTTGGGCGGCCTGGGGAAGCTGAGGCGGCGCCGGAGGAATCAAGAGGCGCCGGCTGTCGAACTTCCGAGGCAGCACTCGTACAGTGGTGGGAGTACGGCGGTGGTGTGTGAAGGGAAGCTGTTTGGTTGGTCTTGCTGCTACGAGTGTTGGGAATAAAGTGCTGGAGATTGTTGGGGAAGTTGATCTGAGTTACCTGAGGTGTTTGGTTGGCTGTGAAACTGTCATTGGTGTCTTCGTGCGCACATCATCTGTGAGTCTTGGTCTTTGGCTTATCAGTCAGCTGTTGAGCTGTTCTACTAGTCATTTATCTGTGCACAGACTCTAGGAGTCACGAATTGATTCCAATAGCCGCCGCTGCCCGGCCCGGACTCGGCGGGCCCGGTCCCGGCGGCGAGCCTCAGAGGCCGGCGACGGCGCCAGGGCCCGGCCGAGCGGGCCGCGCCTCGAGCCTCCGACTGCGGTGCCACAGTGACAGTGTCAAGCCTGACTCATCACTCCGGGCTGAACAGCCGCTCCGAGGCAGTCAGTCGGCGCGGCGGCGGAAGGCTTCACTTGAAGTTCGGCGGCCCCCAGCGGCCCCGCCCCTGCGACCGTCGGTGACTGTCGCCGGACGGCGGCGCCGCCGCCGCTGCCAGAGTGCAGTCCGACCGTCACGCCGTTGGGGGCGACTAGTAGTTATGCCTTGCAGACCACCGGTAGAATTCTAGAGACAACATCATCCGGGTAGGGTCCGAGCCAAGTGTGGTCAGGCGAACGGAAGTTAGAGATCACGCGGTGTCTTTTGGAGGTGTAAACGGACTTGCCTGGTTGGAGATATACAAGGGGGTGGTCATTGTCGCCTTGAATTGCGGGTAGGGGTATTAGTGTGAGTAACCAGGAGGCCAAGAAGGTGGAGTCTGTGACGGAATAGCGACTGCTACAAATGCACCACCCAGACCTCTGAAACATTTTGATATACTGGCTGTGATTTTAGTTGAGTAACTCTATATGGTAATGCAAGATCCCTTCATTGTGTTGACTAAACCTTGGGATATCCTTACTACTTGTTACAATGCATTCTAGAATCCCATTCCAAGGTATAAGCGATGAAGCCGACTCACCACCCATAGAACTCCCTTTAAACTACCCACCTTTTCTAGGGAATCTTCTCGAAGGGCTGGGTGGGTGTGAGTCAAATGGCAACGATTCATTTCGACGCTGACAGGAATCTTGTCATCGATAACTGTGAAAAAAATCGCTCAGGATTCCGACGAAACGTCGTCAAGAATTGCTCGACTTGCCCTTTGATAACCCCTTCATAGAACTTCAAAGTACCCCACCTTTTAAACCCCGCCCTCGCCGTGACTGGGCACACCCTTTTAGGTCGATTACACCACCGGTGGTGGACGTTTGAGAATCGAAGAAGGGTGCTGACACGTAGTCCAGTGGGATACATTTAAATCTACTTATACGAATTAAAACTGTTTTGGTGTCCCCCCCTTTAAAATACACTTTTTATTCCTTTTATATGTGTAAGGCTCTCACCCCCAGGACCACAGATACGTACCCTACCTTGCTGTTTGATCACCCTCATTTACAGTTTCAATTTCAGTAAAAAGTACCCGTACTCACCGATGCATACCCGTTGGTTGGTCCATGACAAATTTATCACCCACCTTGAATCTTTTTTTTGCAAATTCCTTACCCCTACCCATACAGTATGAATAGCACCCTACCCTTAGTAACAAATTCTGTTTACCCCAATGAGCCGATCGCAACATTTCGAACAGACCATTTGGACTGAGATACAGGTACTCCTCTATATCATTTCAATTGAGACATCTACTATATTTTTCTCTCCTATCAGCGCCAGGAAATACAATTAATGTTCCCCTTGACCCCCTTACCCTTCATAAAGCTACCCCACCCTGTGGTTTTAGCACCCTGCAAGAGTAGCACCCACCCTTACTTCTTATCACCCCACAACCGGCAGGAGGAATCGGAAGTTCGATTTAGTACCTACCCCCTTTCTTTGCACCCTTCAGGGGCAAAGTTTATTACCCCTTTAGAACGTAGGACCCTCTATGTTTACCATTTTTTTGGAATAAAACCACCCGGTACTTTTGTACCCCACCCTGCAGAGTTCATTTCTTGTATGCCAAGCCCCTGGTTCGCCTTCATAGTTGCCGCTCGAAAGCTCTTCCCTCCGCAGTTCCCTTCACCTCCCCCCAGAACCCTCAGCCCCTATCGACCCCTCCTTGCTCTCTCCTTCTTCTCCCATCGTCTTTGAGTGCGTTCTGCTGCCTGTTGCTGCACTCATCTCCAACCTTCAACTTCCATTTCAAAACTGTTGTCTGTTGCAAAGCACCCCTCGCGTGACAGGAGCGTTGCAATGTGCGGATCCAAGATGGTCGAGGCAAAGGATGAGCCCCTAGAGATCATTGGAGTCACTGAAGTTATCGAGAGAAAAGCGCCACATGTATGTCATGAAAACAACCTCGATGCTAGAAAAAGGAACCTGGATTTGTTGCAAGACGACGTATTTCCTCGAGATAGAACAACCACCATCGATGATCTTGACATCGGGATCGACTCTGACACGGAGACTGAACCAAGTGATCTTGATATCTCGTCTTGCAGCAAGTCGTTCACCTCAGAGTCTGATGAGAGCTATCAGGAGGCATCATCTGCAGACATCCAAGAGCTATCTGAAAGCGTCACAGCCCTCTCTCTAAAAGCCGATTCGGAGAGGATAGAAGACCTGAAGCTCTTCATGAATGACTTCCGAAGCTTGGGAACAGCTCTCAAAGACAAGTGGCTCGAAGAAGAGAAATTTCAGAGGTACTACCAGGAGTCATTCGAGAAGCTGAGAAAAGGGGACATCATGGAGATCAGTGGTGCGGAAATCCTCCTAACGACATCCATGAAGGAGGATTACGAAAGCTTTGTTCGAGCCTTGGTCAAGAAGTGCTTGTCGAAGTGCATCGTTGCAAGCTTCGATGACGGGTTCGCGTTCGAGTTCGAGGCCAACGGGGAGTACGACGTCCTAGTGCGGTCCAACTACGGAAGGCAGACTGGATGCGTGCGACCTGCCCAGGATTGGAGCTTTTACGTGCGAGAAGGGATCCAGATGATGGACCTTGAGAGCATTGAGAACATCTTCAACTTCTTGGAAGAGTGGAAAATATTCGTCAGCGAGAACTCTGATATCGACATGAAGGGTCTCATGGCAAGGGGAATTTTCAGCTTCTAGTGCACAACAAGGAGTGTTTCTGTTGCATTTACTGTACCATTACACATTAGTTAGTACTCTTGTATTTTGATAGTTACTGTTATTAAAAATTTGCTCCACGATTATAGGGTCTCCTCGTGTCGACGGGGATTGTTGGTGATTTGTTTTCTTGGACATTTGTTCATTTTTCAGTCTCTCTTGCTCGTTTTGCTCTTGTCTGGATACAAGGTGTTAGAAGCATTTCTTTGACAAGACAGAGCGCATCTCACCTTTGGGTTTGAAGAATTTCCCGATCCTACCGAGAATATACATCGAAATGATGATAATGAGCATGGCGGAGCTGAACAAACCAGATTTTGTCCCAAACCCGCAGATGCAGAGGATTCCTACGAGACGAATGACCCAGAGGACCCAGACACGAAAATCGTGTTTTGATGACTCATGCCGTCGAAACCGCGAGACAACAATCATGCCCAAAAGCGCGAACAACGCGCAATACCCAAGAACGAGCTCCCAATACTCGATCAAGATCTGTTTGAACATGTTGGCCGCAAACTTGACGACAAGGAATCCATATCCAGCATAGACTGCGAGGTGAAAGCTCATCGTCTTCGACCCTGGAACTTTCATCTTGTTGAGAAGGAAAATGAAAAGAAGCATCATGCCAATGGTGATCGAAATGAGCATCCCACTGCTATACTGAAAGACCTTGCTCTTTGCTAGCGGCCTCGACAGGGCCAGTAGGAGCATTCCAGCAGCGAACATAGTGACCTGACTCTTAGTGCAGCTCGCCGTCACCCGGACGCGAACAACTTTCGTTTCATCGTTTGACTTCCCCGACCCAAAGGATACGACGATGCAAGACCTTAATAGGAAGTCAGCATCTCTCGTGAAACAAACTTGCTGGCACCTCCCGAAGGGCGAGAAAGTCTTTTCGCATGTCTTGGCGTCAGGGTTGAGGATAGATGGGCTGGAAATCATCATCGTCTTATCAATATCTCATGCAGGGCAAGAAGAGGGAGGGAATGATGGAGAGAGAGAAAATAAGACGAAGATTATGAAAGAGCGCATGGGGGGCCGAGGAAGAAGGGGTGAGAGGTTGGAGGAGGGCACTGTACATGGATAAGCAGCATAGCGTACCATTGCGCCAGCATTTCAAACGGGGTAGAGAAAAGAGACTTTCTCCTCGCTTTCAGCTGTGCTCTCTGTAGCAGCTTGAGAGACTGACCAACGACACCGGCCTTTCTCACCTTGACGACATCGAAAGCTTCTATCCCCTTTGCCTCTCCTTTGCTCTGCAGCCCAGGGGAATGAGAAAGGAACTAAGTTTGCTTCTCAGCGCAACCTTGATGTAATGGTCTATCAGCCCATGGATGTCGTCCTCCGACGCGCTGAAAACTGATGGCGGCTTTCTGGAGTTGCTCGAGATAGAGATCTTCACCTGCAGAAGACTCAGAGGCAGGTGCCCTCGCATGTCGAACATGAGTTCACTTCGCAGAAAGACCTCCAGATATTGAACTGCGGGGCCGAGTAGCAGAAGACCTTGGATTCATCCCCCACAAACCTGAACAAGACCTGGTCAGCTCTAGTCTGCCGATGGTGCGAGCATGGAGGGTTCACTTTGACTCTACTTGCTTGTCAAGCTTCAGATTCGTGACCTTCTCCTGCGTTTGCTCTTTGCACTAAGGGAAAATGTCAGAGGATCGGAATGCTGACTTCGGGTTCACCAGGCATGCTCCGAGGAAGGCGAGGAGAAGGCAAGCGATAGACGGGCACTTCATTGAGGCTGAGATGAAAGCAACGTCAGAGACACAAACCTTCAAGCTCCGCCTGCTCTGCTTTTATTCCTCACTGAGTTCAATCAAGGTTCCACTATTTCTCTACCCCTCGTCATGGCTACCTGCTTGCATCTCGTATAGAGTTCAATCTGATCCTCCTTGTCTCTCTGACTTTCGTCTTCCTCTTCCTCTTTCTCAACATCTACCTCAACTTCCTCCTCCTCCTCCTCCTCCTCCTCCTCCTCCTCCCCTTCTCGCTCCCACTCGCTTGTGGCTCTACGGCGCTTTCTGTAGCCATGCGCCTCATCCAGTCAATTCAAGCAATTTACGAGCCCGCCTCGTCCATATTCTATCCGCCTCGCAGAGGCATCAAATACTTTCCTACTGTCGATTGGCTGAATGCCTTTGTATGTGGACCCGCCTCAGAAAAGCTACTTATCCTCATCCCCGCTCTTGACCAATCTGGGTACTGGAAGAATTATTGAGTGATGTTTGATGATTCGAAAATGTCCAGGTAAGGATTTTGATGGAGAAAAGGCGAAGGATGGGAGGGAGAATGTATAAGAAGAAGCAACAGCATAGCACTGCAGGGGAGAAATGAAGACATTCAGTTAGCGACAGATGTTGGCACTGAGACTGTGGTGAGGGAAGTGAGGAGAGGCAAGAATATGGTCACGATGGCGGGACGGAGGATAGAATGAAGTTAAGAGGGCATACACGTCAAGGGGACTTTGTGAAAAGACAGCAGAAAGGTAAACATGTAAACATGTAAACATGATGAGGAGAGGAGAACTTTTGCTCTCAACAGCGATCCCATCCTAATTGCTGAGACTTTGATGTAGAGGTCAAAAGCCCTCGCACAGCTCGAGTGACCACCACGAAGACAACAGAAACTTGTACAAAAGTGACGCAGTGAGGGCACTTGAAGCCATGCTGGGAAGGTAATCTCTGTTCCTTCCTCCTCCTCCTCGCTCTTGTAATTGTGGTCCTGCGTATCCTGAGTGCTTGTGTGTAACAGCCACGATCTCTCGGTAGAGGACAGCGTGGAGTGCATCGCACCGTCGGATCGCTCTAGCATGGACCTCCTTGGGGATGATAACCCCCGTGCAAGGCAGAGGAGGGAAGGGGAGGAAAGAGGAGCAAGCATGCTGGCAAGAGCAGAAGACATGAGACGGCAGATGGAGGCAGAGCTCAATGCCGTGAAGAGAAGCCAAGAGGACATCATGGGGAAGACCGAGAGTTTCGACAACATGCTGTCGAGGTACAAACATGAGTTCGAGACGAGGAACGCGAGGTGGACGGAGTGGACAAGTGAGGAGGAGAAGGAGGAGCTGTGGCGGGACCTGGATGCTCCTGCCGGTGAAGGCTCATCCTCCAGGTACTTGTCGTGGTGCTGATGGGGCTGTCGCTGAAGGATCATGTTAGCAACATCCCATACTCTCCTGACTCCTTGCGCGGAGACGAACAGCAAGTGAGTCCCTGCTGCTCCCTTCGACTCCTCTCTCCACGCCTCCTTCTCACATATCTACAATCTCCTCCTTGCTTCATAGCTTCATCCTTAATTGATCCTCACCATGCCCATTACTCTTCTCTTCTTGATTGCAATAATCCTCTGCCGTTGGCCTTTGCCGCTATCACCACTCTTTCTCTATGTGTAGGGTGACTGTACTCCTATTTCACAGGAAGGGAAAGATGTAGAATTCTTACAAGCAACAGGTCTGCTAATTCCTTCCTTTTGTCTTCCTTTACGCCGCATAATCTTCCTCCCCTCCCGATTTCCCCCCAATTCTCTCCTGCAATTCTCTTCTTGCCCCCTCCC